TCGTCTGCTGTCCAAAAACATAAAAATCAGAATATACAAAACTATAATTTTGCCTGTGGTTCTGTATGGGTGTGAAACTTGGTCTCTGACATTAAGGGAGGAACATAGACTGAGGGTATTTGAGAACAGGGTGTTGGAGAAAACTGCATAATGAGGAGCTTCATAAGTTGTACTCTTTTCCAAGTATAATTAGAATGATCAAGTCAAGAAGGATAAGGTGGGCAGGTCATGTAGCACGAATGGGGGAGAAGAGGAATGGGTATAGGATATTGGTGGGAAAGCCAGAAGGAAAAAGACCACAGGGATGACCACATGAGTAAGTAAGTATGTACAATAAATGAACATCAAAACCATGGAGGAATGTAGTTTTGCAAAGAATGCATTTAAATTATACTTGTATTTGAGATTTGATGTTGTCAAGGCATTGGGCATACACTACATCTTCTACGACGTGATACCATGCTACCTGGTAGCTACCAGACTTCAGGGCATCACTTCCCACAGGACACTATCTTCATGTGTATTTTACTGTTACTATACCTTTCCACTTTTGTTCCTTTGCAATGGTACAGTACTTACAACATGCCGATACCCATTCCAACGAGTACTGTTATTTCTAAATTAGCACAGACCAGAGGGCATCCCTAAAAGTTGCACAAACACAAATGTAATAATGAAATATAATACTCATTGAAAACTATACCAATTTTGTCAAATTTTTAATCCTAAAATATTGTCATCAAAATATACCATATATTGAACAAGTCAGCTCAAGTGGTTATGCTTCTGCTTTCTATTTGGTAGGTGCCTAGTTCAAATTTTGGTCAGGATGTCATATATCCTGATGGGGTTCTGAGGTAAACTCAGAACCTTTGGGCAAATGCTGAGATAGTATCTCAAATATGCCATGACTGCTTCCTTCCACATATTTTCCATTTCATTATTTACTAATCATACTACTGTTTGATGCTAAACAATGTGGCCTGAGCTACTGACAGCATCATAAAATAATCCCCAAATAAATAAATACCATTATCACCATCATACAGGCATACTAATTATGAAGTCCATCCGCAAAATCATGTGATATCAACCAGTATAGGATATTGTCAGGCATCATAATAAAATCACAGCTCTTCATACTTTAAACTGCACATAGTTACCGTGTCATCCCATGGAAAGAATTAACTTCTAAAAACGTGGTCTTTTTTAAAGATATCAAAGGAATTTACAGATTTTCAGAAGAAAATATATTTTTGTAACAACTGAAAATACATCTATTCTTTTGTGCAGCTGTGTGTTCTAAGCACACGCCCACATCCAGACTCCAATCAACCTGTTGAATATGTGCATAAAAAGAACTGTACACTAATAGTCATAAATTCCCAATGCTATTTTAAACAGGAACAAAATCTTATCTGTACTTGAACCCACATAGTTTACAGACAATTCTTGTAAACTGAATAACTTAACATATACAATTTTATAAATAACTTGTGCAAGAACATACAGCAAATACGTGCCCTCATGTGAACAAAAGAAGAAGTGTGCCCAGAAAGTCATGGTGGAGTTCATATTAACTGTAAACAAAAACTCACAGTGACATTCATATTAACAACAGTGAAAGTGCTCGGCAAGAACAACGGAACCTAAGAGACGGACTGAACGATAGAATGAACTTCCCAGTTTATACAGATCTTGTAGCATATTTAATGGCATTATATCAGTCACAGAGGTTCCTTAGCACCACCTAAGACAACATGATGACCAACAGTGTGGCTTACTTCAAGGTATACAGTGTCAGCAGTTCCCTAAAAAGACAGAAGTCATAAAAATTTTGTCTGTATGACAATAACCATTATGAATTGAATTGGTTAGTTCCCAGATACATATTAGCTGTACTGTCATTTGACTTGCCAGGTTAAGTCAGGGAAATTGCTGCTGGCCTTTGCCAACATACTCATTCTTTGTTCCAAGTCACATGGGGCTCATGATCATATTTTACTCTCATGGTTCAGTGAGTGCTGCGGTTCACAACAGATTTTTTTTTTTTCATTTCTTGTCATTCATAATTGCTACAACAACGTATACATTATGCAGCTGAGGCTAATGTAGCATCAAATGAGATGTGCAAATGATTATGAACAGTGAAATAACTGGGATACGAGAGGAAGATGATACAGCCTATTATAATCATTCACTGAGCAATTCCTTGAATATCTCATTAACCAGCCAAGATTCAAACAGGTACCTCCCAATTAAAAATCCCAGTTATACCTGAGCTAACATATTTGAGAATTTAAAGGTAAAATGTGGTGTTATAGTAGTGTTTAAAAAATAATTTATTTTCTTATTCAATATCACAGTTACCTAAACTACTGTTACAGGTGTCTTTATATAAAGCATTCCTTGCCTGTATTCAGGAGCAGGGTTGCCAACAACAGGATAATGAAATATATACTGTAATAAATATTCTACCTGAACTTGTTTTATGCCTGTCCTTTAGTCTTATGAATAGTACACACATGCATCTCACTCTTCTTCTGTCAGTGTGTCCACACATCTTCCTGGTTTTAGAACATGCATCAAATACTGCTCACTGTGGTTGCATAGTGAAATTTAAGATGGTAAACGTTTTGGTTTTTCCAGTTAAGATATAAACACAATAAATCAGACCATCAACACATAATGTAACCATGGTGGCATGAAGGACATAGAGCAAAGTTACTTCTGAAAAAAGGTGTGTAAAATTCTTACCAATTTCAAATTTCACAACTAAGATGGAGTTTGAGAATAATCAGATTATGTGTTGACCAAATCTGATTATATTCAGTGAAACAACATACAATAGTCTCACTGACAAAGCTATGGGTGATGACAAGACACATTACAAATGAGAGGTTTACACCATTACAGAATGTTGATGTCTGTATACAGGTAATACAGTTGAAACTTTTCATACAGGAAGAGTGATCTGAAATGTCTTGAATTTCAAAATACATGCTGTCTAGTAATCTTCTGCCTATTCTGCTTATTACATACTGATCTACTAAATGCTAATACATAACAACAATGCACAAAATTTATGATCTTATTTCAGCAGCATCATCATAGAAGTATTCAATCACAGTTTCACATTAAATTCTCAGCAAATATCAGTGGTAATATCTATGAACAATATTATGTATATGTATATCAGCATATAAATTCACCCTTATTATATACATGTATATACAGAATGCATAACAAATCCAATGTCGGGTAGCACCTATATTTTTAATTATATTTACACATTTGGCCTAATTGAGCTATGACAAATGCCTCTAGTTAAGATCTTTTCAGTTTTCCTGTACCCTGTTTGGACAGAGATGAGAAAGAATCCATTCCTGATGTGGCAGCACACACGAGGCAAGTTTCACTGCTATCAGGGAGAGGATAGTGAGAATGATAGCTACTTGGGGGAGGGAATTCCACTTTAATGTGAATTCAAAACCATAACAGAGGCTTGGTATAAATCAGTCACAAATCCTTTACATTGCTTGAATAATCAGAAAAATCTGTACTGGATCCAACTAATGTCAAACCTCTGGCCTTGGCATGACGGACTAGCACCGTAATCCTTGAACCACCAGGACCCCTATAGGTCTACATGTACAAACTATCCATCCTGTTATAAAGAACTTAAAAGAGTGGATAGGTTTTAATCCACTTTAAAAACACATGCTAAGCAATATATGATATGCTAAGTAGTTACCATTTAAACACTGATTCTAATTATGCAATATTTATAAAACAGCAAAATCAGTTCCTACAGTGGTAACCTTTTGTTAAAACATGGAAATAATTTAGTGCTAAAATACAATTCAATGCATGAAAAATCAGCATAAAATTTCATCTAGTAAAGTCTCCACATTCATTCTGAATGTAAAAAGACTACAATTGACATAAGAGGAGTCTTTATTTATGGTGGTAATAACACATATAAATTAAACAAAATATAATATCACTTATTTGTAATATGATATAAACTGATTAGGTATTGTGACACATTGAAAATTATACTTAAAATTTGTAAAAATATTACATAAATTAAATTACTTGGAATTACAACTACCTGCAAATATTCATATGTTTACATGATCACATATTTTTAGCCTACTTTCCTTATTTTGAAGAAATAAAAGTAGTCTTATTAGATGACCATGCTGTCTGGTTTCATTTAAATGTTATCCCCTTACTTCTGTGGGGGTCCTTGCTTTATGAATCTCGTGTGTAGATGGTGTAGCAACACTCCTGTGACAATGATACCAATTTATTCCTTAAATTATAATGTGAATGGGGTTGCAGACAATAATGAAAATAAAGAAGCTATTTCTAACATCTGTTTGAAGTATACTGAATGCAGAGGCCTGCTTTTTCATGTCCTACATGACAATGAACAAAAGGAAAGAATGAATTTTATTTCGTGGATAAGGATAATTCTCAGTTTATTTTCAATCAGTGTATCACTAATCTCTTCCTCGAAATGTATGCCTACAGTAAGCTTCAATGTGATACAGTTCCTCTGACAGACTGACATGAAGAGTTTATTCCAACTTATGTGGTAAAAGTGTCATGCTTTTATAACAAAAAATATAATACATAATAAATACAGTACACAAACTCTGAAATTCAATCTTTGCTCCTTCCACTTATCTCGGTCTATTTCAAAACAAAAGCTCTATAGCCTCCCATGATGCAACCAGTTTGTACTTTGCAATAACATTAAATTCACATCAGAATATGCTAAACACATCTTGATTATAAAGACCACCCAGTTAATGATATTTAGGCAAAACAGTTACTACATACTGAGACCTGAACAAAACCTATAAACACCCTGGGTGAATGTGAAGTTCTTGAATATTAAAGCAGGAGTGGCTTTCACTGTGGTGTGAAGAAGCAGGAGCTACATAAAACATGCAAGTTCATAAAATTATTCATTATTCCCTAAAATAATTAACTGTTCACCTCAAACTGTTTATAGTGCACATAAGTGTATAGTATATGTAACTGTTGATAAGATTTTAGATGCATTACTGAAAACATGTGAATACCTATTAGCTGCAAATTTCCAACACTGCTTCTCTGGAAGACTGAACTGATGACTTCTGAGGCTGTGTTTAGCAAAGTTTAACAGAAAGTAATTTTGCTCTAGTAAGGGATACAAACTACCAGTTTACATTTTTAAATATGTTTTGATAAATTCTGATGAAAACTGAAAAATGTTCCAGACAAAAATTGTAGCCTTATAACCTCCACACTCTCAAAAAGTCCATATTCCCCTAATATTTCAGATACACAGTAGCAGGTCCTAGTTCAACATTAGATTCCCTTACTTGGCTGCCATCACTGTAAATGTGAACTCTTGCATTCTATGAAAAAGTTAAATAGTTCCGTTCAGTGTGACTGGAACAGAACTATTTAACTTTTTCGTAATATTAGTGTGATGGACCAGAATGAAACAAGTCAAATTCTTGCATTCTATCTTTTCTGGTAAGAATAATTCTTCTGTTACAACAGAGAATCTGCCAGTTGCAGCTGATTTTGGAGTGGAAAGGATTCGTAAAATGAACAGTTCTGCTTCTTCAGTGTGTTGCTTGTGAAATAATGACCATCACACACAAAGCATAACTATCTGTGATGCAATGTAACCCAGAAAAATGTTACAGTACACACAACTTTGCATCAAGTAAATAATCTTGAAACACAATTTCACTTTTATGTTATTTTCTTTTTTCTTTCATTATGAGGGTATTTATAAGACACCAGAAGCTGAATGCTGACTACAACACAACTGCCATGAGAAAGCATATGGCATTATATACAGCACATCTTGGTCACCTCCCCACAGTGGTTGTACTGTATATGTAGATCCAAATCTTATCATTCCTGTCATGTGGCATCCTGACTTTACTTTCAGAGTCTGTGCTACAGCCATGAAAAGTATGGTACACACCTGTGTGGAGGAGAGTAAAGTTAATGTGCATTTGGTCTCAGGCTTGTCAAACATCCACTCAGTTCTCATACAAGAAACTGGCATAAAACATGACCTTGTCACAATGAATGTTCACACTGGTTTACTGATATTTAATAATTCCTGATCTACATCTAAAGAGAAATGTTAATCTTTCTTGACTTCATCTGACTTCAGTACATAGTCCTTGAAGAGACTATAGCCAATACCAGCTGTCAGACATGCGACAACAGTTCCCTGTGCTGCAACTCGGAGCTGCATGAGGAACACGGATGTTGACATAGTGCCTCGGTGTTTAAACTTATATGCACCATACAAGCAAGCCAAAGTTAGTCCTGCAAGTCCTGTGGGAGAACAAAAAAACAACTAATACATGTGTATGATACAAAAGTTGGAGGGGGGAGGGAAAAGACTGTCCATGCATTTTCATTATCAGTCCGTTTTTGTGAGAGAATGTAACTTCTGTGCAAATACATACAATATTAGTTCCTTCAGTTTCATATAAATTTGCCCACTCCTGCCTAAAATGATGAAAATTCTGTAATTTCTACCAATAGGTCCAATAATCAAAGGCACTGTTTTAACCTTTCCCCTACTTACATACCTGCTATTTCATCACTGCATAGCACATACTTATGGAATAGGTTATTGGTGAGGGTGTTGGTGTTAAGATGTTCACATCACTGAATTTTACATTTTGGAAACACTTTTCTGTCCAGTGAATAATCACAATGATAACTTAAAATAATCTTATTTAGTCATTAGTGTACATAATATTTATGTAACTGTTCTTGCATATGGCCAGGTTAAACTTTCATTTCAAATACTGTATGATGCTTAGTATCAGAAAATAACTTGTATTAATGCTGTCACATATTAAAGGCTGTTCAGCTAGAAGCCCAAATCAGAAACCAGATTATGAAGAATGAATCCATTTACCTGGACAGCATGCAGGGAGTTGCCAATAAAAGTTTAAAACAGCCTAATGGACAAGATAACAGAGGAACCACAGCTTCCAATAAAATCATTCCATGTACTGTTATGGTCTTGTATCTGTAGCCATATCTGTGGGGTCTAATGTCTTGCAGCCGTAACCCTGTCCATTTGCTTTTTTGTCACTAATGCAATCACGGCCATGGGTATGAGTACCCAACAGTACCATAACATCACCATAAACAAACGAACTCCATGGCCTGTAGTCCACAAGCGAACTATACTGACCAAGCGACTGCTGCTTGTTGGCGAAGTTAGTGCCAACTTTTGTGGGTAGAGGGTGTTGCGTGGTCAGTGCAACAGATCCCCAGATCTCGGTTTTCTAGACCAGAGCTCCTATTTTTCCATTCAAGTAGCTCCTCAAGTATTTTTCAGCGTAACTTAAAATGCAATGTTGCCACAGGAACGTGTTTACCAAGTCATTGTCTAGAAATGGGTTGCATAACACCTTTGCTTATTTGCCTATTGCATAGCAACAGCTGTACATTAATGTCTCTGCATATTCGCAACTTTGCAAATTCATTTCATAACTTATAAGGACATGGGAAAACCCAGTTGGTGCTCATTTTGCCTTCTCTAGAGCATGGTTTTCAGCCTACTACCTCCTATCCAATGGGTAATGGGGGAATATTCCCCCTGTCCAGGGTGTTTAGCTGACCAGTCACCGCCATCTACTGCCAAGATTATGAAAACATAAAGCTATACCTCCAATTCCCCATACAATTTCAGGGTCTTAATTAAAAGGGAAACTTTGAACTTTTCTAATAAGTGACCCAATTGGTATACATTGAACTATAGTAGGATTCATATCTCTTGATTTCTGTAGCATGGCTGCTGATATTGTACTTGCCAGTAAGAGACATGCTGCATTGTCCAGTTCACTGCTGTGAGTTCCAAAACAGAATATCATGTGTGACTGAACGAACTTTTCGTGAATTCAGAAGAAACACATGCTTAGGCTAAAGGCCACATTTTTTTCTGAATGTGCAGGAGCAAACCCCACATTCTAACCAAAGCAGTTAGCATTTTAGGTTTCCCAAAACTGTTACTGTAACTACGGGGGCACATGATAGCATGATTGGTTGAGGCACTTTGTTATAAGCTGAAACGTCATGGGTTCAATTCCTGATGAGGCCACTGGATTTTTCAATTTACCTAATGCTTCCAGTAGCACTGTGGCCCTGGGGTCAACTCAGCCTCTAACAGAAATGAGTATCAGGAATCTTCCTGGGAGTAGGGGACAAACGTGTAAGGCTGACAACCTCACTGCCATCTGTGAGGCAAATGTCCAGAAAATGTGGCAGCCTCAACATCTCACAACCCTATGGTCTCCATGGCCAGTTACAGCTTTACCTTTTTATTTTTAATGTAATCATTGCTTATATTTATCTGAAATAGTCAGTGATTTTGATATCACTTCTTGGACAATATATTCAGAATACAGGCTATGAATGATTTTGTATTTGACAAAGCACAGTTTTGAGAAGGCCCACTGCATATTTTTAGCTTTCTAAGCGAATTTTGTTCATTTATTCTTATGAAACAGTTCAGCTTTATTCATACACAGTCCATTCAAATATCAGTTTTCTAATGCTGTTACTGCTACACATGCATGTGCAGAACAACAAATTGGTAATGATGCAGCAACTTCCTATTCATTCTCACCAAACACCATATATATATATATATATATATCCTGCAACAGTGTGAGGTCCCAAGGTAAAACTGCATAATGTACTGATGACTACCATTCCTTTATTGATATCATGGTTAAGTACCACCACTGCTCAATGCTGTAACATGTGACCCTGTCACTTCTTGGAAACTACAGGAAAAGAATGTATATAAATTTGATTTGTTTCATTCTGGTCCGTCACACTAATAATATTATGAAAAGTTAAACAGTTCTGTCTAGTGTCACCAGTCACATTAGATAGAACGATTTAACTTTTCATGAATGTATACAAAATTAGCAAATGGAGAGGAATTCCCTGTACTGGATACATTTTCGAATTGCAAACAGGGGTCATGTCATTGCCAATCTGTTCAGTAGGCTGTACTTATGTACTGCATATGTTTGATTAAATATAATGGATAAGACAGAAATCAGAGCTCCCATTGCAGCCAGCCACTGGCACAAAAACTGTAAACAGAAGCCAGCTGTTGTCCATCTCATGATTCTGATGGCAGCAGTATTTGACAAGGCAGCTCAACTTTTAACAACGGTTACTTTTTAATTTTTAAATTATGTAAAAAAACAGATATTATTAACATTTCAAAATTCAAGTATTGTAATTTAATCTATTACATGTGTCCTTAGATATTATGGCTTCAATAAGGTAAAATTCTAACAGGCTGCTACCATGGAAATTGTAACAATAACAACCCAATGCAACTATTCGAAGATGTGCAGTACATAATTGTATCTAATTTTATTTTTTATCTGGTCTGATAGTGAGTGTTATATTTTAATTATAGGTTAACCATGTCAAGAGTGATTATTTACTGTTGACAAATTCTAATCCTTTAGGCATTTGGGCAATAGGATTTCAAGAATGATGTATTTAATGATGTGACTTGTTCAAGTGTTACTGTTGTAGCAATTATGAATGCCAAATAATATGAATAAATGAATGTTGTCATCCCTATATAGTACTGACCACTCTATTATTTACACTTACCAATTGGCATAAATGGGGCTTCCTTTGACTTTCTGGCTAACCGTGATGTCTGAGATTCGTCTGAATAAGTTGTCAGTACTGTGGATTCTGCAACCATCTTGCTGGAGTCGTCAAACTATGAGATGAAACAAAAACCAATCATCAGAAGAATTTCAAAGCTAAAATGAATTTCCAGTTACCAATCACAAAATCATTTACCTCTTCAGACATTCCTAATTATATCTGTGAAAGGCCTGCACAGAATAATTTTAAGAATTAGTGATGTTTTGCGATTTCATTACATTATACAGTCAGAGTCAGAGTTACTTTATGACTGGCGGTTTATACATACATACATATCTATATTATACAACATTGCGTCAGACCACATAGAAAACACACTGCTGTCCATATAGTTGTACGCTTTGCCTAGCAACAGCTATTTACTCGCTGTTGCTAATCAATGATACTTGTGTTGTCACTGTAACATTTGCTTGAATGTGGGCAGTTCCCACACTACCAAGATTCTCAACAATATTTCCAGAAGTATAGTCCTAATGAACACAAAGCCTCAGACCTGGACGGATTCCTTGGATAAACGACCTAAGCTAAAGAAAATGGATATGAGATTTGGCACTTGGAATGTTCAAAGTTTGTATAGGGCAAATTCGCTCAGGGCAGTGACAGAAGAAATCTTAAAATATAAGTTAGATTTAGCGGGAGTACAGGAGGTCAGATGGGATGGAGGTGGCATCGCACCAGCAGGAGACTATACATTTTTCAATGGAAAGGGGAATGAAAATCATGAATTAGGTAGAGGTTCTTTCATACATAAGAAAATCGTATTAGCAATTAAGAGGGTAGAGTCTGTTAGTGATAGGATATCATATACCTGTATAATACTAAAAGGTCGCTTGTGTGATATCATTGTTACGAATGTTCTTGCCCCAACAGAAGATAAAATTGACGAGACGAAGGATAGATTCTATGAAGAACTAGAACATGTATTTGATAAATTCCCGAAGTACCCTATGAAAATTTTGTAAGGAGATTTCAATGCCAAAGTAGGGAAGGAAGACATTTTCAAATCAACGATTGGGAATGAGAGTTTGCATGAAATTAGTAATGATAATGGAGTTATAGTAGTAAACTTTGCCACATCAAAAAATCTTACTGTCAAAAGTACAATGTTCCCACATCATAACATCCATAAATTTACTTGGCCATCTCCTGATGGGAAGATACACAATCAAATTTACCATATTTTGATAGATGGGAGACAGCACTCAAGTATACTTGATGTCCGATCGTTCAGGGCAGCAGATTGTGATACGGACCACTACCTGGTGGTGGCAAAGGTTAGGGAAAGACTGGCAGTGAGCAAACAAACAACACACAGAGTTCATATGGAGAGGTTCAATCTCAAGAAATTTATGAGGTATAGGGTAAAGAGCAGTATTGTGCTGATATCTCAAATAGGTTCGTGGCTTTGGAAAACTTGGAAACTGAGGTGGATGTTAATAAAGCTTGGGAAAGTATTAGAGAGAATATAAACATGTCTGCAAAAGAGAGTCTAGGTTATTATGAACTGAAGAAGCGTAAGCCATGGTTCGATGAAGGATGCTCAAAATTATTAGATCAAAGAAAGCAGGTCAAACTGCAATGGTTACACGATTCAAGTGAGTTAAATGGGAATAATCTGAATAATGTAAGACGTGAAACCAGCAGGCATTTCAGGAACAAAACGAGGGAATATCTGAAAGA